TTGAGAGGGAGTTTCACTCTTGTTGCCCAGGCTGGAGTGCAATGGCATGATCTCAGCTCACTGCAACCTCTGTCTCCTGGGTTCAAGTGATTCTCTTGCCTCAGCCTCCTGAGTAGCTGAGATTATAGGCACCTCCCACCATGCCCAGCTAATATTTTGCAATTTTAGTAGAGATAAGGTTTCACCATGTTGGCCAGGCTGGTCTCAAACTCCTGACCTCGTGATTTGCCCAACTTGGCCTTCCAAAGTGTTGGGATTACAGGCATGAGCCGCCATGTCCAGCCCTCATTTGTTTGTTTGTTTGTTTTGAGACATGGTCTTACTGTGTCGCTCAGGCTGGAGTGCAGTGGTGTGATCTTGGCTCACTGCAACCTCCGCTGCCTGGGTTCAAGCTATTCTCCTGCCTCAACCTCCTGAGTAGCTGGGAGTACAGGTGTGTGCCACTATGCCCAGCTAATTTTTGTATTCGTAGTAGAGGCAAAGGTTCATCATGTTGGCCAGGCTGTTCTCCTGGCCTCAAGTGATCCACCCACCTTGGCCTCCCAAAGTGCAGGGATTACAGGCGCTAGCCACCTTGCCTGGCCTGTTGTTCTTTTTAAGATAGGATCTCACTCTGTCACCCAGCCTGGAGTGCGGTGGCACCATGGTAGCTCACTGTAACCTTGAACTCCTGGTCTCAAGTGATCCTCCCAACTTGGCTTCCCAAAGTGCTACGATTACACGTGGAAGGCATCTTGTCCGGCCTCAACTTTTTTTTTTTCTTTTTTCTTTTTAGATGGAGTCTTGGCGGGGCACAGTGGCTCATGCCTGTAATCCTAGCACTTTGGGAGGCCGGGGTAGGTGGATCATGAGGTCAGGAGCTCGAGGCCAGCTTGGCCAGTATGGTGAAACCCGTCTCTACTAAAAATGCAAAATTAGTTGGTGTAGTGGCAGATGCCTGTGGTCCCAGCTACTCAGGAGGCTGAGACTGGAGAATTGCTTGAACCCTGGAGGCAGAGGTTGCAGTGAGCCAAGATCACGCTACTGCACTCCAGCCTGGGTGCTGCAGCGAGACTCTGTTTCAAAAAAAAAAAAAAAAAAAAGGAGTCTTGCTCTGTTGCCCAGGCTGGAGTGCAGTGGTGAGATCTCGGCTCACTGCAACCTCTTTCTCCCGGTTCAAGCAACTCCCTGCCTCAGCCTCCTGAGTAGCTGGGATTACAGGCGCCTGCCATCACATCCAGCTAATTTTTGATATTTTTAGTAGAGACGGGATTTCACCATCTTGGCCAGGCTGGTCTTGAACTCCTGACCTCATGATCCACCCACCTTGGCCTCGCAAAGTGCTAGGATTACAGGCATGAGCCACTGTGCCCAACCCAAAGTTTTCTGAATTGTCTATTCTGTACCAGGTGCCTAAATGTGATAAAAGTGACAAGGGAGTAAACTCCAGCAAAGTCTCATATTTACAGGTGTATCACTGAGCCCCCAAACCCTTTAGGGCGGGAACCTGGCAACAGAGCCTGGCAGCGAGCTGGCCACACTGTAAATGCTCCGATCTGCAGGGTCCTCGAACCAGAGGCACTTTGAGGAGACCCTGATGCAGCCGCCTCCTTTTCAGGAGCAAATCGAAAGTAAGGCGACCTGCCTTTCATCACCCAGCCGGCTGGCAGTTCCCGGCTCCAACAGGGCTAGGGATTGCATTTAAATTCACACCTGCATACACTTGCGAACCTGCCCCATCCAAACTCAAAACTCTCCCTAGAACCAAAACGGGCTCCCGGAGAACCGTTCTGGGAAGACTGAGGGTCCTGCCGAGGGAGTTTCGCCTCGACACTCTAGGACTACAATTCCCGAGAGGCCTTGCGACGGACGCCATCTTGGTTCCCCACCAGGCGAAGCGATTTTCCGGAAGGGGAGTAAGGCTTTTTTGCATCATCGGCGCGCGCGGCCGCCGCCGCGGAGAGATGACATTTCGGTTCGGGACTGTCACTCAGAGCCCGGCCAGGTACTGGCCGAGGGGCCCGGGGGGCCGGCGCCGCCATGGCGGCCGTGTTTGATCTGGATTTGGAGACCGAGGAAGGCAGCGACTGCGAGGGAGAGCCAGAGCTCAGCCCCGCGGTGAGTGCTGCACCCTGGCGCGACTGGATCCCGGAGCCGATCCTGTCACTCAGCCAAGGCCCGAGCCGCGGCTCCGCACGCCCAGACCCGGAGCCGGCTCCGACCCGTTCCAGACCCAGATCGTGCTCAGATCCCGGCCTCTATTAGGCTCTGATCCCACCCTCACCCCGACCTCTCTTCCAGACCCCAGCCTTTTCCCAGATTCTGCCTTTCCTGCCCTTATCTTCTTCCCAGTTCTTGCACATCCCTGCCAGCAGCCATCCTGACACCCTTCTCTCCTGGGCCGAGCAGTCCAGCCTGAGCGGGAGCAGGGAGGTATCCTGGCAGCTTTCTTGGCTCTTACCCCTCGGTTTCTCATAGGACGTGTGTCCCCTTGCCGAGTTGAGGGCAGCTGGCCTGGAGTGAGTGAGGGTCGTGTTGGGGGAGGGGGAATAGAGTGGGGAAGGGGAACTGGGGAGCACTGGAGCCTTGTCCCCATTAACGCGTTGTGTCCGTAGGCCTGTGGGGCACTATGAAGAGGTGGAGCTGACTGAGAGCAGCGTGAACCTCGGCCCGGAGCGCATCGGGCCCCACTGTTTTGAGCTGCTGCGTGTGCTGGGCAAGGGAGGCTATGGCAAGGTAGGGCCGGCGCGCCCTTCTCTTGGCCTCACAGCCTCCATCTGGAGGCAGCAAAGAGTTCTCAAAACAAATTAGACTTTTGAATCAGCAGATCCTCTAATGGGATTCAGAGCCAGAAACAAAGGAGGGAAGGCCAAATCCTCTCCAATCAGACTTGAAATCTTCACTGCCCTACCCTTGGCAGGGCCTAGGCCTCCTGGTCCCAAAGCCAGAGCTTCAGGGTGGGGCTTCCTGAAGATAGGGTGTGGAGAGAGAAGTTAATCCTTCTCTCTGCCCTCCAGGTGTTCCAGGTTCGAAAGGTGCAAGGCACCAACTTGGGCAAAATATACGCCATGAAAGTCCTAAGGAAGGTGAGTTACTGGTTCAGCTAGTGAATACTGTGTGGCTGACATTCCCAACGTCTGTGCCAGGCTTTGGAAGACAGCAGTGAACGCAACGGAGGAGGGTCCCTGTCTTTGGCATTTGCTGGTTTATTGTCTGTTGTGTAATGTCTTGTAGTAATTCTCAATGGGGGCAATTTTGACTCACGGTGGACGTTTGACAACGTCTGGATACTTTTTTTTTTTTTTTCATTTTTTGAGGCAGAGTCACTCTGTTGCCCAGGCTGGAGGGCGGTGGCTCGATCTTGGCTCACTGCCACCTCCACCTCCCAGATTCAAGCAATTCTCATACCTTAGCCTCTTGTGTAACTGGGATTACAGGCGCCTGCCACCACACCCAACTAATTTTTGTATTTTTTGTATAGGTGGGGTTTCACCAGGACGGTCTAGAACTCCTAATCTCAGGTGATCTGCCCACCTCGGCCTCCCAAAGTGCTGAG